CTTCGCCGTTTCGGAGTAATCCGATGAAGCCGATCCACTCAGTAGGAGAACCATCTCGAACCCATAAAAGTTGCTTCACTCTTCTGATCAGGTAGTCCTCAAGTGTATCACGAACCAATAGGTATTGTCAAATCTCGTTGAGCTTCAGGCATCTGTGCGTCAGACAAAACCGCATTAGTCGTGTAATCGTTCCACAAGTTCATCCTCCTCGTCCTGCCATGCATACTCAGAGAATAACTCAACACGTAGAATAATGAACCTGTTTGCTTGCACCCGTCTCATATGATATATACCAAAGAATGGACCCTGCCGTTCATTCATCCAAAGTACGGAGCGAACGAACGTCAACCTTATCTCATAAATCTCATTCATTTATGGGTTAATCTCATACGGCTGCATCACAACCAAGTTCATGCTGGCGAAATCACGTTCGGGCAGTGGCGGGGCGAACTCATAGTGAAGAATATCCAATCCAACCCTTGACCTGAAAATAAGTCGTCTAGGGGGATTTCGCGCGCTGCCATCCCAAAATCGTGGAATATCCTCCTCAGAGTATAGTTTATACGGATTAAAGACAACCCGCCCTATTCTCTCTAATCTTTCTCCATTGCGTTCTGGGGACTCGGCCCATTCCGCTGTTGCGTCACAATTGCGGAAGAGGTGACAGACCGTCGTCCTTGCAACCATTTGAAAAGAAAAGCGAGAGTAATTAAATTAAAATCTTTGTCACTGAGTATTATTCAGACATCCGTCTTCTTTCTTGCCCACGCTTCTTATGGCACGACCATCCACTACAAAAGTGTTTAACTACACTCTACTTAAACTAGTATGACATGAATTGGGCTGCTTATGGCACTAGTTCCCCATGCGCCAGTGACTCCTAATATGACCACCAAAATGGTATACTATAGCAGTTTTCCCTTACGTGATGCGCCAATAAATTCTAGAGGCCTTTCGTGAATATGCACCTGTCCCTCCCCTAGGAGGTGGTCTGGGATACCCCTCGTCCTCGCCCAAGAAAACCTCGGATCTCATAAGTCGGGCGGGCTCCACCACAACAGCATGGTACCCCCCCGCAAAGCGGTCCACTCCGAGTCGATAACAGGGCCGGCCCCTAAGGCAACGAACCTCTGCCTCAGATGCCTCTTAAGAAAAGAAAGAGCGCCTACCACGACGGGCAAACAATCCCTTGCCGCTTGATGTCAAGAGCAACTTAGACGAAGAAAAGAAAGATCACAGAAGAGAAAGTCATTCAGACGGATGAACATAGATGGAGAAGGTCATTCGGGAAAGAACAGGTGACCTTGGGAGCAACTCTATGTTCATTAAGGTTTCTCTTCTTTGTGATCGCTTTGTTTTTCGTCGTTTTTTTTATCTTTCAGTCTGACTTATACATGCAAGTGTGGTGATGCGAGAGCAACCATTCATTTGCCGCATCACTGTCAAACTCACTCTTGTTTCAATAAATCACACCTGCAGTCAGATCAAATGACAAGTCAAAAGAAAACAATGCAGACCCAGACTCATGTCAGACTTACATTCATACGCGCAGACACACATGCTGTTTACCCTTTAAGAGAATATTCAATGACCAAGGTCAAACAAAGTGTGGGTTCACACGGGAGTAGAAGGGTCTGAGTCAAACTGACTATTTAACTGACCTTGAGTGAAGTTGAACGACACACCCAAGAAAACCGTATAGATTCACGCCCCTAGATGAGAAGGTTGTCGCAACCAATTGTCAACAAAGTGATCCACACCACTCCTTTGTGACGACCGCCTGCCACAATACCCTCTCAACACATAATCACCTTCCAACAGTCTAGCGATGTCTTCTCATTACTGCCACTTGCCTCCAATGCCACAACGTTACTGCGGCGTCGCGCTCACGCCACTTCAAAATGCACCACTACTTTGGCGGCACCTTCTCTGTGTCAATGCCCCACCTCCACTCAGTGCAAAAATATTGTCGTCACCGCCATGAAATCAGTGTAGTCGCTACAAAAATCCGGTAGTGCTTCCGTACCATGACCGTTAAAACCAGAGTCGCCGCCACAAAATCCAGCAGCGCTTCCACACCACCGCCATTAAAGTCAGAGTCGCCGCCGAAAAATTCCGGCAGCGCTTCCGCACCACCGCCGTCAGAGTCGCCGCCGAAAAAAATCCGGCAGCGCTTCCGCACCACCGCTGTAAAATCAGTGCCGCTGCAACAAAAATATGGCAGCGCTTCCGCACTACCGCCGTAAAAACCAGAACCGCTGCCGCAAAAATCCGGCAGCGCTTCCGCACCACCGCCGTTAAAGTCAGAATCGCCGCCGAAAAATTCCGGCTGCGCTTCCGCACCACCACCTTAAAATCAGTGCCACTGCAACAAAAATCCAGTAGCGTTTACCCACTATAGTGAAAAAATGGCAGGCCAAAATCAGTCAAATTTGGGCCCCAAGCCCAAATTCCACAGCGCCGCACTGTCGTAGTCCCGCAGCGTCTTTGTGTCAGTCCCGTGGGACCAACACTTGCCAGAGGGGAGAGGAGCAAAGTGCTCCCTGCCTTGGCTATGGCTTCCCAGCTCCTCTCCTCATGCTCCTCTGCAGAACTCCAGCCTCCTCCCTCGTTGCCTCAGGCAACACCTACACCTCCAGCAGCCAGCAATACTCAAGTGTGCTCGTCACACACTGGCATCACGAGTGCTTTGTAGCTGGGGACAACTGCCTGTTTTATAGTGGTTGAGGAGGGCTGGACGTCACTCCAGCCCCCAGGCAAAATTGCGGGCTCACAGTGAGCCCTTGGTCTGGCCGAGATCCCGGGCTAACTGTGGCCGCACCACAGCCACAGCCACAACCCTATTTTTCTTTCTCTTTTCTTTTCCTCAGCTATCTCGGAATTTCACGAGATAGCTGAGGTCCTGACATTTTCAAAACTGTTTTTCTTTTATTTTTTTGATAAGGGGTTGGAGAGATACAACCCCTTACTGTTTGATGTATCTGGACCCTTTTTCCAAGGCAGATACATCGAGGAAAAGGTTGTACTTGGCCTTTTCTTTTTACGACTCCTCCATTTCCAGGCTCCTTCTAAAAACGGGAGCCTGACAGTTACCTCTGGCAAAAGCTGCCAGAGGTAGCATCACGTGAGGACAAGTGTCCTCACACAAATAAAGAAGAAATAAACAAAAAGAAAAAGAAAATCAAAACTAATCTAACTGCATGTGCCTGGCCATTCTCTCGGCCAGGTTAATGCAGAGTCCTCCCCTCACTTTCCTCTGCCCTCCCCTGAAAACGGGGAGGGCAGTTGGCAGGTTGGGAGGAGTAGGACCTCTTCCTCCCAACTCCCACATTCTCCTCTCTCTCCCTCCAACCAACTCCCACAGTCTCATTCCCAAGCGCGTGTCGTGAGCCGCGAGATTCTAGATCTCGCGGCCATGAATATTCGTGGCTTTTCTGAATGGGGAGTTGGTCTTGTTCCCATACAGCCTGAAAAGGCTGTTCTCTTTTCCCCCTATTGCTCTCACGAGGTTGTTGCCTCGTTCCGTGTGTGTGTGTGTGTGTGTGTGTGTGTGTGTGTGTGTGTTTTTAAACAGTTTTGAAGTTCACTTCGTTTTCAGCACTTTCCCCGTTTCTTCCCTTCTGCTCTCCATACGCCAACGGCTACGCAAAAACCGTGCACTTTCGACATTGGTGTGGCCAGGCCGTAGGCGTTTTTCTATTCTGGCCTGGGCCGCAGGCCACTTTGAAAAGGAGCAGTTGCAGGCTGGCAAGCCTTGGAAGCTACCGTCCTCCCTGAGCACAACACACCCTGATTATGACTGCATAGAACCGGAGAGATGGCTGATGTATACATTCAGAGTCAGGATGCCTTGTGCTTGGGGGAAGACGGTAGCTGAGAGCAGGTTAATGGAGGGCCCAAATTTCAGACAACTTGTCATGCCATTTATAACAAAACCCAAGGGTCATTTTAACCAAACTTGCCACCTACTCATAGAGTGGAGACCATACTAATTTAAAAAAAAGGGAAAAAACCCTATAAAACAGCAAGGCAAAAGTGCACTTTTCAGAAAATTTCGCCCACATTCCAACTCCAGAAATCTTGAGAAATTTCAGAAATCTCAGCAAAGGAAACTCCAATACTCCAAATGATACCAAATTTGGCAAACAGTGACCCGGAACCAAAGCAGAAACAGGCAAAAAAAAAAAAAAAAACACGTAAAATTTAACCCCCAAACCCTAATTTCAGTTTTGGACCCGTTAGTCAGGAGCTGAAAGTGGGGGTCCCCCTTCACCACTTGTGCCGTAGCTTCGTCAACTTAGGCGCGTGTGTGTGATCTGGGGCAAGGTCCCACTTGCACAAATTAGGAGATTTCGGCCGTTGATCTTTGCTATCTACGGTCAGTATCTCTTAATTCGTGCAAGTGGGACCAGCCCCTGGTGGTTTAAATATATCTGACTGCAATGACCGCCCAGCCTGTATGTATCTCAGTCCCCAATCTCAGTCCAGAAAGCTCTCCTGTGGGGGTGTACTCACACTGGGTCTATCTTTGATGTGTGCGGTGGCCTTATTTACGGCCATGGTTGCATGCATCTGACCGCGATCACCTCCCAGGAAGTCCTACCGGTAGTGTGAGTACGCCTTGAGTGTTCTGACTTTTTTCGGAATGGGGTCCCATTACGACCTTCGCGGCGCTTTCGGGCGGAAAATGTGTTATTTCCCGCTTCCGCGCCTTGACCCCCCGCCGAGCTCGCCGTCGCGCGCTTCTGCGCATCCGCGTGTCCGTCCTTTTGACAATTTCGGCAGACGCCAAGCTCGTCCTTTTGGCGCCTACCAGAATGGGAAACATTTTTTCAAAAAACAATTGAGACTTGCAACTATTTAAAGAAAGTTGGAGCGCTCCAAGCTCATCCCTTTTTATTATGCGCCCGTTGAAAAACTGGAGCGACACACAGAAGATCAGCATAGCATAGCATAATAGCAGAGCAGAGCGTAGCATGGACGTTGGGGAACGACTGCGCTCGCAAATTGAGACATGGTTCGAAGGCGGAAGGCGGGGGATGCTGCCTGCGGGAGGGCGGGATGCTTCCTGCGCAACGCTGACGCGCGGACTGCTTTTGGTCCCTATCCCGAAAAAGCAGACCGAACTTCTTTTCTCGATCTCGATTTATGCGTGTCATCCTTGAAAGCGCAGGGGCCATGCTAATCTTCTTTCTCTGTATCGTTCCAATTTTAACGGATGTCCCGAGGGAGGAAGCAGACCGAACCTAGAAAGCAACCCTGTAAGCGGTAATTGCTCTGCGCGGCGATATTTGCCGTGAAGGGAACGGGAAACGACGTGCCTTGGCGGCTGACGTGGTGATTGACGTGGCAGGCAGGAGCTTAGCGCAGCGGAAGGCGCTTGCTCTTACACAGGAACACGTGGGATCAAGTAGGTCTTCGTCCTTCGTCTCTCTCTTTTCTGGTACAAGGCTCCATTTGCTCCCTGCTTCTCTTCCGAACGATCTCTTCCGATCCTTTTTTTTTTTGAAATTTTATTTTTTTTTAATTACTAATATCTTCTTGCTTTTCGTAAATGAAAGGGAGTAGACCCTCACCTTATTGTCTTCTTCCGGTCTGTTTCCGGGGGCAAGGTCCCACTTGCACAAATTAGGAGACTTCGGGCGTTGATCTTTACTATCTACGGTCAGTATATCTCTTAATTCGTGCAAGTGGGACCAAGCCCCGGCAGGATTCGAACCCATGATTTGGATATCAACGAAATCAGTTACAAAATAGTTACATGTGTGTCTTATAAAAGGGCGATCTCAAAAAAAATAAATAAAAAAAATAAATAAAAAAAATTAAAATAAAAATAAAAGGGCGATGGCCTTGAGTTATCATCATTGAGCTGACCGGCCCCAGGCAATTAAGAAATATTTGGTTTTACAAGTTCCATCATCTGGATTCGAACACGAGTTCCATGTGTGTAGAATGGATAGACATGAGCTGCGTATCCGCCTCCTCCTCCTCCTCCTCCTCCTCTGTTTTTTCTCCTTCTGTTTTTTTTTTTCGTTTTGCTCCTCCTCTCCTTTCCCTGTGTTGAGTCGACGACCACCACGTGGCAGAAGGTTCTGGGAGATCAGGGCGCTTCTTGTGTGGAGGAGGAAGAGGGCATTTCTTCTCGCTCTTCTCTCCCACTTCGCTAGCGGGAATGATGCTCGCTGGCGGGAAATGTCCTTGTTGGCGGGAAAGATGAGATCGGTTTGTCCTCCTCCCCTTCCCCCTCCCTGGCCCCCCCTCCTCAATCATGTCTACTCGAACCTGCAACATGTGGACGGGTGAGAGAAGCCCTCTCTCTCCCTCTCTCTCTCTCTTTTCCTTTCCCCGTTTTTTTTGCCTTATATTAAAAAAGGAGAAAACTACGGCGCAGTCAGGGATTGAGTTTGTAATTGCACTTGAGGCAAAAGGGCCGGTAATGCTGAATGTATATGACCTACGTTTCGGGTCCGGTGGGGTCGCGTGGGGCTGTGTTGTATTCGCGGGATTGCCTGAAGTGCAATTACAAACTGTTTTCGTGACTGCGCCGAAGTTACCCCTTAAAAAAGTCTTCCATCTTAGCATTATTGTATCTATATCTGATTCGGACAGGATTTGAACTCATGGTCTGTTCATCAACTGTTTTATGGGTTATGGGTGTACCATTCCGCCACATGGATTAGGTAGCCAGCTACCCTGTCCTTTCTTTCAAAGTGCTGGCTGGCTGGTAAGATCGGCAACCCCTCTATCTATGTGGATCCTAAGAATGGGGAGACGGAGATTGACTTTTTTTTTTTTTAATAATAAAACGAAAAAAAAGAGATGGCTGTCCCCCGCTGAGGAGAAAGCAGCTTTTGAAAAAAAAAAAAAAAAAAAAAAAAAGAAGAGAAAAGAAAAAAGAGGACCGGGGAGATGAAGACGGAAGTATATTTCATCTTCTTGATCTTTTGTACCATCGATGTGGATCCTCAGAATGGAGAAATGGATGCGTTTCCTATTCTTCATCTTCTGCAATGCGGCAGATCGGATCGATCTCTTGACCTGCCGATCATTACTGTCGGCGTTACTACTGGTATGTCATTTGGCAATGCTATGTATTTGATATGCTATGTGTGTTGATCCTTTTCCCTTTTTCCTTTTTTCTGTGTGTGTGATACTGCTGTGTGTTGTAACGTTCGCTGCGCAAATTCCACAAAAAAAAAACCATGACTGTGATAGACCGTTTCGTCGGACTTCCACCTTGTGTGTTGTGCGTTATGTTTTTTTTTTTTTTTTTTAATGGTTTTATGATATGTGCGCAGTAGATCCTTTTTTTTTTTTTCTTTCTTTCTTTCTCTTATGGCAGTCAGTAGATCCTCAGAATGCAAAGGGCCTCGCCGCACCATTCTCCAAATGTCAAGATTCTGAACGTATCTGGACTAATTCCGTCTCAGAATGCCCGGTTCTTAGCTCGTGATGCTTCCCTGGAATAGATCGAAGCGATCAATCAATAAGGACCACTGATTAATCAGGGTAGGGTCCTGTCCCGCCCCCCCTCCCCCCCTCCTCCCTTCTCTTTGAGGGACCACGACCACTCGATGTTTTGTTAAAAAAAAAGAAAAAAGAAAAAAAATTATATCCCTTTTCCCCTGCAAACCTACTAGTAATTGGATCCATCCCATTCTTCCTATCGTTATCCTCGGCGTTAAGCAATGGCAGGGGTTGGTTTTCATGCATCTCTCCGCGGTCTATTTGTATGCGTAGAGGGCTGTTTTTTTTCATATGTTTCTTCACGATCGGTGTGTTTACATACTGTATTTGCTCTCTCTCTCTCTGTCTCTTTCTCTCTCTCTCTCTCTCTCTCTCTCTCTCTCTCTGGGCTGTGTATTCGCTGAACACAAAAAAAAGGGTGACTGTGACCTACGGTTTCGTCGGACTTTCACAGACTCATCATCAGGAAGTTGAACCTGGACAGAAAGTCTGCCCAGGATGCATTTGACTGATGGACAAGCTCTTCCCACTTTGCCCAAAGTCAGCCATTGCCTTGAGGTAGAAAAGTGGTCGATTTTATTCACACCAACCCTGTCTCTGTGTGTGTGTGTGTGTGTGTGTGTGTGTGTGTGTGTGTGTGTGTGTGTGTGTGTGTGTGTGTGTGTAAAAGAACGGACTCGATAGCATACCAGATCTCCTCATCTGCTGCCCTACATTATATATCTGTATTTTGGGCAACTTTGAGGCTGGATACAGGGACAAAGACCGGGCGGTCTATTCGGATGAAGACGGTTGTAGGGTTCTCAGCTCTTAGCCAGCACTCATCAGATTCGATCATAGTTGCAGGAGGCACCGACTAACCCCCTCAGTCCCCGCGCCACCTCTCCCCTCACCTCACTCCAGCTCTCCTCACATCCTCCACTCCCCTCCACGCCCCCCCCTTTTGGTACCGAAGAGGGCATCAGCTGTATCCACAAGTAGATAGCTGTGTGTTATCGAGAGCTCACGGTAATAGGCAAAGGCACAAAAAAGGGCAAAACGGCTATGGTGGACTTTCCTTGTAGGACAGTTTAACATATAAGAAGTGGAGGGTTTGGGGATTTTCTAACTCCTCTTCCCCGCTCCCCCCCCCCCTGTCTGGTCGGTATATCTGTAATCAAGTTCTGGCAGTCGCCTCCTACCTTTTCCCCCATCCCTGCGGGCGGCCCCCTCTCCCTCCCTTCCCCTCGCCTTCCTCCCCCTTATGCCTCTCAAATTGACTCGACAGAACAAGCAACGGACCTGTAAGGCAACGGTCCGACAATGCGTAAGATGTTTCCCCGTGCATGTGTGACCATGCCTGGATATACTTATGCACATATGGTTATGTGTAGGTAGATGTCGGTATGTATATAGTTTATACGTCGTAAACATCTATGCTCTGGAAGTTGGGCACAACCTTGTGATGAGTCCGCTAGAGCTTGACGAAACGGTTTGTCGCGCGATTATCTTCTTCGTCGACTTCAGAGTCACGAAGATTGATATACACAGTCAAAGAGGACTGAAATACACCCGCAACATGAAGAGAGAGAGAGAGAGAGAGAGAGAGAGAGAGAGAGAGAGAGAGAGAGAGAGAGAGAGAGAGAGAGAGAGAGAGAGAGAGAGAGAG